TGGCTATGGCAGTGAGGGTGGAGGCCTCGTTCAACTGGAGTGGCAGTCTGCAGTGCTGCAGGAACCTGGGTAGTAACATGGCTGCCTGGGCAGATGAATACTGTATGAGGCAAAGGAAGGCTCCACATCTTCAGAAGGGACAAGGAATGAATGAGGCAGGACAATGTCAAACCAAAGTAGAGCAGATGATTCCAGGAAGGGCTCAACGAGCACTTGGGAGACAGAGGCAGGTGAGTTCCAGGCGAGCCAGAGCTACAGAGTGAGGCATTGTCTCAAAAGCAAGTATACAGCTAGCTCAACGAAGCACGGGGGAGGGGCACTGCTCGCTAGGCTGTGGGGTATCAGTCCCGGTGATGGTTCCTATAAAGACTGAGAATACAAAGCTGTAGAAGAGATCACAGGACGATGCAAGAGGGGAAGTCTGCATGGAAGACTCAACATGGCCAGAATCAGTATGAGGCCCCTCAGTGATGACCACAGGGCACTGGTGACCCATCAAGTGCAGTTTGTACTCCCCAGAATTTGTTCACCTTAACCTGCCATACAACATGTTTCTCAGAAATAGAAGCGCTATAAAAACGGGCTAATGGAAACAACGTAAGTACATGGGAAAGTGAAAGAGAATGACTATATACAGGAATGCACAAAGCTGAAGCGGAGGGGCTCAGCAGGGTCACTCCTGAAACTTCAGATCCAAGATCACAGTACTGTAAAGCCCGAATAAATTGCAGAACGAAACCTAAACACTGATAGCCCAGCAGAGGATGTCCTAGGGTGGTGGAGGAAAGACGGAGCTTTTCCCAAACAGGTGACAGCATCCCGTTTCCAGTCCCCTTCCTATAATTCAGAAATGTGATCGCAGAGCACCAGGGACCCAGATCACTGACATTCCTGGCTACACCTTCAGTGTGAGCTCATGACCTCAACCCCACCGTCACACCACTGACAAGGCCTATTCCTGAATCAGGGCTTAAAGGACCAAGGCGCGGCTTCCGCCTTCTAAGGAATTAGGGAGCTGCGCGGGAGGGACCCTTTTGTCCAGCAAAGTCCCAGAAAAGACAAGAGCTTGATGGACAGCAATTCCAACCAGGCAGAAACCTTCAAGAGACCCCCAGGGCAGAACCGACCACTAGGAGGCTGGGAAAAGGTCTGGGGGAACTCGCTGGGTCCCGCTGGGGACAGCGGCGGCGAGGGCGGGGTAGCACTTCGTTAGGGTGCAGGGAAGGGGGCAGGTGGTCCAGCAACACCTCGGCCACACCTTCCAGCTCCAGCGCCCCCCTGGACCCGCCCCGCTGCTTACCAGTCAGTCGGGGATTTCTCGTTGACCACGCGAACGTAGGCCTCCTGCAGCGCCGGCCCATTCCGGCTCAGGTTCACCGCCATGGCACGCCCCACGGTCCCAGCAATACCGCAGCCTCAGCTATCCGCCGGCCTCCACTGGCGACCGGAAGCTCCGCCCCAGAGACCGGAAGCTCGCCTGGAGGTGGGGAAGCCGCGCCCACGAAGTCGGAAGCGGAAGTAGAGAATTTGCGGGTAGAATTGAGGTGTGGGTGAATTGGAATCCGAGAGAAGCAGAGGGGCATTGTGTGCTGGTTTGCAACCCTTAGGGCGTGGCCTGCAGTCAGAACATCTTGAGCGTTCTGTTCTTGTTCTTGTCTTAGTTATTTTGTTTGAGAGCAAGCTTAGATGCCCAAATCTCTTTCCAGCCGAGTACTCTGCTGTGTATGCACAGAAGATCCGAATTAATCTGAATTCAGAAATTTAATCTGATAGTTGGGCGCGGTGCTTCCCAGCACTTGGGAAGCAGAGGCAGGCGGATCTCTAAATTAAGGCTAGCTTGGTGTCTATACAGAGCAAGTTCCAGAACAGCCAAGTGTACATTGAGAAACCCTGACTGGGGGAAAAAAGAAAGAGAAAGAAAAAATAAAAAGAAATTAAATCAGTGGTATCCTGCGTGGTGGTACGCACCTGTGATCTTAGCACTCAGGAGATAGAGGCAGAAGTTTGAGTTCTGGTCGTTCTGGGCATCATCTAGATGATTTTTAAAAAATAAAATAAAAGGCTCGATAATGAAGAGAACCTGCTTTGCACTTCACCTCTACTTCAAAAACAATTGGATTTCCTTATGATGGACCACAATAAACTAAAATAAACCTTTCTTCTATAAATTACCTTTTGTCAGGGTACTTTATTACAGCAAGAGAAATGATACTAGAAGTTACCACGTTTAAAATGCTGTAAGAATGGGTCTGGAAAGCCAGGTGTAGTGGTGCATGCCTTTAACCCCAGCACTGGGAAGGCAGAGTTAGGCTGTCATAATGAGTTACGGGACAGTCAGAGCTACAAAGACACCCTGCCTCAAAGACAAAACAACAACAATAAACAAAAGAGCTGTTGCTGCTGCAATAGCTTGGCAGTTAGGAGCACTGGCTACTTTTTCAGGGGCCAAGGTTCCCTCTATAACTCCAATCCTAGGGCACCTAATGCCCTCTTCTGACACCTGCTGACACCAGGCATGGACATGGTGCACTTAAACTATCACACAAATATATAAAAGATGGGCACAATGGCACATGACTTTAATCCCTGAACCTGGGAGGCAAGAGGTAGGTAGAGATCTCTATGAGTTTGAGGCCAGCCAGGTCTACACAGTGAGATCCTGGCTACAAGTGAGACCTGTCTCAATCCCCCCAAAACAAACAAACAAACAAACAATAACAACAAAATGCAAACAAAAAACACAACAACAACAAAAAACACAACCAGCTCCATTCAGCAAATCCAAATCTTCCAAGAGAGGTAACATGCACATGGTTGTGTGGTGGTGGGGAGTGGGCATGCACTCGTTAGAGGGAGGTCTCTTCCTGAACTTGGAGCCAAACTGGTGGCCAGTAAGTTATAAGTGATCTTCCTGTCTCTGCCTCCCCATACTACTGGTTAGATATAGAGTCAAACCCAGCTTCTTAAGCAGGTACTGGGTGTCTGAGCACAGGTCTTCCAATTTGTGAAAAAGTGCTCTTTCCCACTAGGCCAGCCCCTCAGGTCCAGTAGTCATTTATTTTTCACAGATCACTTAAACCAGTGGTTCTCAACCTTCCTAATGCGGCAGCCCTTATGTTGTGGTGACCCCCCTCCCAACCATGAAATTATTTTGTTGTTACTTCATGTCTGTAATTTTGCTACTTTTATGAATGGTAATGTAAACATCTGATATGCAACCCCCAAAGGGGTCTCCACTCACAAGCTGAGAACCACTGACTTAAACCCATGCATCTCTCTGATCTCTATGGTCCCCAGGGGCAGATCACATTACAGTCGACTTTACAGATCTGCTGTTCAGTTACTGATCTAGGACTGTATTTAGAAGTATAGTATTAGCTGGGTGGTGGTAGAGCACACCTTTAATCCCAGTACTCGAGAGGCAGAGGCAGGCTGATCTCTGTGAGTTTGAGGCCAGCCTGGTCTACAGAGTTGAGTTCCAGAGCAGCCAGGACTGTTACACAGAGAAATCCTTTCTGGGGAGGGGGGAGTATAGTAATTACAGATATAACACAGGACCAACCACACTATGGTCATCTTCAAAATAAGGCTTTTGACCCAAGAGCCTATATCCCTGGGAGCATGAGAAAAAGTGGGCCCCCTTCTCAGCAGCAGAGTATCCAAGGGATTTGCCTGAGCACAAGACTGTTCAAGTGCTCTGGCAGGTAGGTATGAAGCTCATTTTAGGTTTGCAATCCATTCGTAATTTGCGCTAGGAACATCAAAGGGCTATTTTTACTTTTTCTACTACTCATTCTCTAGCAGAGAGAACTGGCTTGGGGATACTCTAGAACTAGAAAGGGGATGGTGCTTGGAGTTATAAACTACTAAGCTTGAAAGACTAAAACATACATGCTCATAGTCCTAACACCATGTTGGGCCAGGACTTTCCTGTCTGCTTGCCTCTGATGTGAAACTATGTCCCTTTCCTGACTGGGTTATCATCTACAAAATGTTGTATTATGCTAAGCTGAAGTGCACAACTTCATACAGCACATGGTGTTGCAGCTTGGGAGAGAATGCATAACAGTCTTGCAGGACATTTCACAGAAATTTAAAGAGCAACTCTCCACAGGGTGAGGAACAAGGAACAAAGACTAATAAGAGCCTTAAAGACTGTGTAATGAGACCCTAAATGAGGGCAAACACAGGACTTTGCCAAAGTGGTGTGAATGGGCTCAGAACTGTATTCTCACTGACACTGGCTAACTTTTCTGTTTTAGTCTTATGTGTCTGAGGCTGGTCTTGAATCTTTCCTCCATTTTCCCTGTATGCTGGGATTATACATGTGCACAACCATGCCTGGCTGCTTGTTTTCAGAGCAAACCAATCTCCTTTGGCTGGTTCTCAAGTGTTAGATCAGTACATATCTTCTTCCTTGCCCTCAAAGGCCTCACCCAGTCTTTGGGTGGCAGTTTTTTTCTCCTCTCCTGGTTCTGATTCACCAACCATTAATCCCTGGGAATAGACTGGCTTTATAACCAATTCAGAAGACTAAGTTAATTAAGGCTAGGTGTCATGGATACACCTGTTATCTCTCAGATGTCTGGATTATATTGAAAAAGCTTATCTAAAAAAACAAAAACATGAGCTCTAGAGAAACTCCTCAGCTCTCCTCATTCTTTGCAGTCCTTTCTAGAACTTTCTTTCCTAGCCAAATGTGGTGGCACATGCTAGTCAGCCCAACTTTCAGAAGACTGAGACAGAAGGAACAGAATTCAAGGCCAGCTTGGGCTACATAACAAAACTGTCTTCAGAAAACACATTTCCCCCACACAGATACACTCACTCTTGCTTTTTCCTAGGTAATGAGTCTTAAAAGCTCTGAACTCTTGACAGCAAACCTTGCTCCATGAGAAAGCCTACAGAGGAAGCCAAGCACTCAAGGCTTACTCAAATCTCTGGAGAACCTGTTAAGTTTATACTGTCTGAAAGGAGAAAAGAATGTCAATTGTCACTCATAGTTTTGAGGGAATTTCATTTTTATTTGCATTTAAAGTCCCTCTCCCTCACTGTGTTCCAGTCTGTGAATGGCTTATGCTTGAACTCCATGTTAAGTTCCCAGTGGGAGAAGAGTGGGGGAAAAGTCTCACCACACACAAAAGCATAACCCTGATCCCTTCATGTCTGATAATGCCATCCTCTTTCTTGGGGGGTTACATGCTTGTTATATCTTGATGGTTCCCACTTGCTGTTTGGTATGAGGAGAGAAATGCAGCACATAGCACTGCAGAGGACGGTGGCAGAAGACAGCGGAAGCACTTTCACTTGATGCTGTTCTAACTCCAGGAGCCCCAGGATGCACTTGGACTCCTGAGGACACGGTTCTGTGGCAGACAAGAGTATGGAGAGAGCCCACTCTGCCCTGGGCCCTCAGGATAGCACTGTGTTCTAAAGGCAAAGGGCATGTGGCTAGGGAGCAGACTGGGCCCCTGTATAGTGCCATGGTGACTAGTGGCATCATTTGAGGACAAGTAGGGGAGGCATGCATGGCTTGATTCTCCAGAGACAAGCAGACAAGCTGGGGCAGAGACCAATTCTAGTGTAACCAGGAAGACTGCAGATCATAATGATGGTTGCTGATTTGGCATCAAAGGTGTGACACTGTCAAGGCCACAATGGCTGAAAGTGGCACCAACGTGCTGCAGCCAGAGAAAGTGAGTGGTCAACACGTGTGTGAACGTAGGATGTTCTGTGAGTGCCTTAGCCAATGGCTCAGAGCTTCACAGGAAGGCCACTCTGCCTGGCAAGCGTCTCTTGGACAGTGTCTCCCATGGAACCTTCGAGGCACTTACATAGCATATTTCTGTGTCCATTCTCTTGCTAGTCTGTTGTATCTGGAAGAAAAAAAGCAGAGGGAGCGACACCCTCACTTGAAATGCTATTCTTTCAATGTGGAGTAGAGAACATGAGGGGGTCAGGCTGCTGCTTGTCAGGCATCTGGGACTGATGGGTAAGTGAAATAGAGGCTTTCTTTGGAATGGAAGCACTTCAATCATGGGTGTAGCCCATTAGCTTGGTGTTTCCTGTTGCTCCTCCATAACTGCCTGTGGTAGAACATGCATTAATGCAATAATGCAAACCTCATCTTTTCTCGCCCATGCCCTTCAGTATAAACGCAAGATGTGGAAGGAGTTCAGCTTGGAATATTCCAGGCTGTCTGGCACACAAACTCTAGAACACTGGCATAGTCTGTGAATCCACGTGATCCTCTGTAGCTGGGTCACCTCTCTGTGAATGGCTTATCACATTGACTGTTTACCGTGAAACATGAAACACCATCTGCTTTGTTGGGGCTGTGGGGAGGACTGGACGAGCTTCTGTAAAACTCATGGGCCACACCTGACACCTGCTGGTGATTCTGTACGTATGTGCCTTTAGCTTCATACTGTAATGAGAACTGATGGCATACACATAATAGTAAATTTAAAATGTATAATTAGAGGACACTGAAAAAATAATTTTGTTCTACCTAAAACAACTCACTCTAAATATTAATTACAGATTAAGGTGGGCATGGTGGTACATTACAGTCCCAGCACTCAAGAGGCAGAAGTAGGTTGATCTCTGTGAGTTCAAGTTACTCAGTGAGACCCTGTCTCAAATACTACCACCACCAAAACAAACAAGCAAAAATCTTAAATTCCTGTCAGTTCAAACTCACTTCAACTGGTACTAAGAAGCTTCATCAAGGAAATCAGATTTATAAAGGCTAAAAGAAGCTTAAAATAATAAAAAAAAAAAATTCTTTCCTAATCTCATCAGACAAAAGTAACCGATGAACTAAAACACCAATCTTTTGTTTGTTTTGTTTTTTTGAGGGTTTCCCTATGTAGCCGTAGCTGTACTAGACCAGGTTGTACTAGACCAGCTCTGTAGACCAGGCTGGCCTTGAACACAAGAGATCCGCCTGCCTCTGCCTGCAGAGTGCTGAAATCAAAGGTGTGTGCCACCATTGACTAGATTTTTCTTTTTGCTATTTTTAAAAATTAATTTATGTGTTGATGTTTTGCCGAATGTCCGTGTTTTTGGAATTACCAAAACCAACCAAATGACAACAACAAAGAGCACCAGCTGCTCTTTCTAGAGAATCTGGGTTCAATCCCCAGCACCTACATGGGAGCTATCAACTTTCTATAACTCTAGTTCCAGGGGAGCCAATGGCCCCTTCTTACCTCTGTGGGTACCATATATGCACATGGTACACAGACATGCATACAAACAAAACACCTACACACATAAAATTAAAAATCTACAAGGGAAAAAAGTGGACTGTGCAATCAGTAAGTCTGCTGCTCAGGCTCTGCCACACTGGACCCTGCTCAGAAACTGACACATGCTAGTGACTCCTGCGTGTGCTTTAGCAGCCAAGCTTCAGAATCAGGTTACATCTGGCCAAGGGAGGGAGTTCTACAATTCTGGGTCTGGAAACTAGGGTGTAAACAGCTGGCAGTGAGGGCTGGGTGTGCTGATCATACAGCCACACACTTTGGACTTCTAACTTTTACCAGCAAACTAACCTTGGCAGTGCTGCCCACCTTGCTGGTTTCAGCCTCATTCTGGGGATGTCCAAGCAGATTACCCCCTTATTTTGTCATAAACCTTCTAATTTAATCCAGAATTTTCTTGTCATATTCTTCTGAGTCCTTTGTTGGCTGACCACTGACTTAGCTGTCCTCAGGTCAGGGCTTGACAATATTTTAGGATTCAGCAGTGGTAGTTGGTGAGCTATCCAGGAGGGCAAAGTACTTTTATCCTTTTTCCCTCCTCTGAGTCAAAGGACGTGTTAGGAAGAAACAGGAGGCTAAGCCCAGGGCACACCCACTGCATACATGGGCTTGGCTTGGGCAGGAAGATGTCCGTGGGAACCTGGGCAGCTGCACACAAAGCCAACCCAAAGAGGACGCATACTTCTCTCTGTCGGCCTTGTAGGTGTGGGCTATTTCTGGCACCAGTGGGTCATCAGGGTTGGGGTCGCAGAGCAGAGAGCAGATGGATAAGAGAACTAGGAAGAAAAGAAAGAGTCAGTCAGCGGAGACCATGAGCCTGTGCATTACTTGTGTCCAGCGAACCTCCTGAAGTGTATCGTCTGCTTCCCTCAACACTGCAATTTAATGATTCTGTTCAAGTCACGGTATTTGCTGATAAAATACCAGCAAGATGCACATCACAGTGCAGTTCTAGCACACTGTTGTAGGGCACCTCCCTCCTCTGTGTGGTCTGGGCATTTACCTTCCTACTTCACGGAGGCCTCTGACATCTTAGCTCTCACACTCGTCCATAACCCCCAGTCTGTGCCCACACCACACATCTCTAGTGCCCCACAAGTCTTTGTTTACTGATAAGAAAACGGGAATTCAGAATACTAAAGTTAGAGTGAGACTCTGAACCAGGACTGCAAACCAATGCATCTTCCTCCTTTTGTGTTCTCCTGTGTGGGGGACAGTGCCAAAGACCTTGAACAAATAAAGTCATTTACCAGGGCTTGCTAAGGAGCAGATGAAACTTTGAAAACTGTATTTGTGCTTTGCCCTAAATCTATCAAACTTCAGTAAGTCCAAAGTCCTGACAACAGTTAAAGCTGCCTATGGGAAGGGTGGGTCTCTTTGAGTGAAGAGACTAAATTCTGCTAAGGTTCCGGAAGCCTGCCCCTTGCTTCCCCACCACTCAGGATTGCCTGTCCTTTCTCAAGCGCCCTCGCCACTACTCTCCCTTCCTCCCTCTTCCCTGACTGCTTACCTAAGACCTCCCTCTTCCCTGACTGCTTACCTAAGACCTCCCTCTTCCCTGACTGCTTACCTAAGACCTCCCTCTTCCCTGACTGCTTACCTAAGACCTCCCTCTTCCCTGACTGCTTACCTAAGACCTCCCTCTTCTCTGACTGCTTACCTAAGACACCATTGGCCCTGAGAGCTGGCAGACTCTGGTGGCTGCCCCTGACTTTCCTGGGCAGTGGAATAAGGCTGCCTAGCTGAGGTACACCTCAGAGAAGAGTCATTTTGGCAGAACGTCGACCTAAGAATGCACAGTACCTTGCACAGTACAGAGGTAGTGGCTTTGTCCTGAACTCTCCATACCTACTTCTGCAGGCCTTTTCTAGCATTCCAAAGCCTGTCTTGCCAGCCTCTCCCAATGCCCGACACTCTGCCATTTGCTTGCCTCATGCCCCACTTATTTGGAGCAGGGGTAGCTTTTGTTATTCTACCCCCCCCCCCACACACCTATGCTCAGTCTTAGTTCAGGAGCACCTATAGTTCTATAGCATGCTTTACGCTGGATTCTGTTGTTTTTGAGACAGGGTTTCACTGTGTAGTCCCAGCTGTCCTGTAGATCAGGCTGGCTTGAACTGCCTGCCTCTGCCTCCTGAGTGCTGGGATTGAAGGCGTGAGCCACCAGTGCCCAGCTTGTACCTTTTGACTTTTAGGTGAAGAAGTAGAGTTGACACTGTCTTCTTGTACCCAATTGGTAGTTTTGAGCATCACACAGCAACTGGCTGCTGAGAAGTATTAGGGCATAGGGATTGAGCTTTACATGCCATCTTCTCACAGTGTGGAGAATGAGGTGGCAGGGCAGGGCTCTGTGATCTGGAGAAGTCGCCTGCTCTTCCTGAGCTTTCATTAACACTAGCCAGCAAAGAGGTAAAAGTACATGAGACAGGCGTGCTGAGTACATGTCAGGGTTTCTACCTTTGGACACAGTTAATGCTGGGGACCACTGGGACCTCAGGATGTCCAGGCAGATGCTGCCATTGTTGTTGATATTAGGGTGATAGATTTTGGTAGTGAAAGCAACCTGTAAAAACAAGACATCAAGTCAGGTAAGCCACAAGGAAATCTGGAAAAGAATCCCAGTGAAGAAGCAGTTTCTGCTGAGCTGTGTTGGCAGACACACCCACCCCAGCTCCAGAGGACACAGGCAGGTAACTAAGAGAAGTAACCAGACCCATTTCTTGCTGGATTCTCATTTTGAATATGGGGGACTGAAGCCAACTTCCCTATGCACTGTGCTGTAAAGAATAACATGCAGGGTGGTAGAAAAAAACCTCAAAGGCCAATATCTGCAAAAACCAATTCTAAATATGGTTAAATGAGTAAGCAGAGTCACCATAGGAAACAGTCAGAGAAAGTTCACCCTCACTCTTTGCTTAGCTGCTTTAGTCTGGGTGGCTGGGATGAAAAAGAATTTTTTTCTTTTTAAATCAAGAAAGGGTGTTACTATGTATCTCTGGCTGTCCTGGAATTCACTCTGTAGATCAGGCTGGCCTTGAACTCGAAGATCTGCCTGTCTTTGTGCTAGAATTAAAGACTATGCATCACCACCTGGCTGTAGGGCATTTTCTTGATCAATGATTGGTGTAGGAAGACCCAGCTCACTGTGGGTGGTGCCATTCTGGGTTGTATAAGAAAGCAGTCTGAGCAAGCCATGAGAATCCAGGCCAGTAAGCAGCTCCCCTCCATAGTCTCTGCACATGTGCTGTCTCCAAGTTCCTGTATGAGTTGCTACCCTGACAGCCCGAGAGATGGAGTGTTACCTAAGAGTCATAAGATGAAATAAACCCTTTTTTCTCCAAGGTGATTAGTCATGACATTTTATCACAGCAAGAGAAGCATAAGACAAGGACTAATTATGAGTATCTGCAGTTTAAGGTCCCAGCAGGTTGCAACCATTGATCTGGAATGGCAGAACACTGGGAGAAGGTACATACACAGCACTTTACTCGTGACATAGAAGGTCATCGTATGCCTTTTATCAAAACATTATGGGAGTAGGGGGCAGCCTCACCTTTGGGGGTTTGAAAGGATAATCTGTTGGGAAGTGGATGGTCAGGAAGAAAACACCTCCTTGGTAAGGACTGTCATTCTGGAAGGACAAGACAGAGGAAGAAACCAAGCTTGAAGGAAGCATGAAGTACGAGAAACAAACCAGAGCTGAGGATGCAGTAGCACTACCTACCGGGCCCATGATGGTGGCCTGCCAGTGGAACACTGCAAGACAAAAGAAAGATGGGTATGTGAGGGGCTCCTCAGTGAAGGGTGTCTGTTCTGCTGAGAAGGCGCCACTAAGCTCTGGGCACTAGGTCCACACAGAACTGCCTCATTTCTGACAACTGACTACAAGCTTGGGGCTTTGAAAAGCACTCTCAAGCTCCATAACTCACCAGGACTCCCAGGGGTCCTGGGAAACTACAGCAACCAGGGTTATAGTTATTAGAGTGACACAGATCCAAATTATATTTCCTAGACACAGCTCTGCCCATCAGCAATGCTCACCTATGCAGCAGTGTTGAGATGTTAGTTAGCAAGACTCCACTGTGCAGTGACCGATGAGCATCTCTCAGAGATCTCTCACATCTTTTTTGGTTAAGGCCAACTCTCTTGATTTTTTCAACATTTATTTTTATTTGATGTGTATGAGTATTTTGCCTGTATGTATGTGTACCACATATGTGCCTGGTACTGAGAAGGCTAGGACAGTGTTGGATCCCCTGGAACTGGAGTTGAAGACAGTTGTACATGCCACATGGGTGCTGGGAACTGAAATCAGGCTCTCTGAAAGAGCAGCAAGCGCTCTTACCCGAGGAGACTTTTCTTCAGCTTCATAACAAATTTACTGCAAAGGCATAACTATAATCTAGCGTTCTCTTTGCATAAAATTGCACCTTAGCTAGTCTTCTGCCACTTTACATGTTGCTGTTGACAAGCGTTTTCTGTTTCCCAGTTATCCCCTTGATTTCATTTGAAGCCCTTTTCATAGTCTGTCTCGGGCTGTGAGGCCTCTCCGCCACTCACATCATCTCACCCAGCGACCCAGGCAGTGTTCTGAGCATGATGAAGTCTTCCTGTTCTTCTCAACTTCCTGCCCTTTGGCAGCCAGACTTTCTCATCTAACCTGTTCTCTTCAGAGTCTTGGGCTGTCTTTACTGCTCTGCCTGTGCCCAAAGCAGCTCCTGTGTGTTTATCAAGGCTGCTCTGAATGCTCCAAATAGCTACATTAACCAAGGCTCCAGAGTACCTCAGAGCAATGGACTCTAGAGCCTCTGTTTAAGCTGTCTTTTCACTCATGCGGTGGGCTTCTGAGTTTCTAGAGGTCTTCATCTTAAACTCAGAGATCTGCCTCCTGAGTGCTGGGATTAAAGGTGGGCGCCACCACTACCCAGCTTTGTGTTTTATGTTTTGAAACAAAGTCTACTATATAACCCAGGCTGGTCTTGAATTTGTGAAGCTCTTAGTCAACCTCCAAGTGCTGGAATTACTGGTATATATCACTATGCCTGACCATATATACAGCTTTTAAGTGTACAATCCAGCTGGGTGGTGGTAATGCACACCTTGAATCCCAGCACTTGGGAGGCAGAATCAGGTGGATTTCTGTGAGTTCAAGGCCAGCCTGGTCTACAGAGTGAGTTCCTGGACAGGCTCCAAGGCTATACAGAAACCTGTCTCGAAATACAAAACAAAACAAAAATAAATAAGTAAATAAAAATCTAGTGGCATTATATGTATTAATATTCTTTTTGTAAGATTTATTTTCTGTGTGAATGTTTTGCCTACATGAATGTATAAGTACCATATGCATGCCTGGTGCCTGCAGAGTCCCGAAGGACTGGCCTTGGAGTTAGGTAGGGTTATGAGCCATCGTGTGAGTGCTGGGAATCAATCTGTGTCCACGTTTTAGCTATCCATTCACCTGACAGGCCCTGTGACTGTACTAGCTACAACAGAACCCTTGACAAAAGCAACCTAAAGAGGGAGGGGTTTACTCTAGCTCACAGTCCATCATGGCGGAGAAGTCACAGCAGCAGGAACTCCAGACAGCTTACCACAGCCTTCACAGACAGGAAGCACAGAGAGACAAATGCTGATGCTTAGCTCTCTTCGAATTTATTCTGGGACTCCCACCCATGGAATGGTACCATGTATGTTTAGGGTAGATCTTCTCACCTCAACCTAAACTAGAATTTCTTACAGGCAAGGCTGAGGTTTGTTTCTATAGTGATTCAATCCAGATTAGTTATCAGAGGTTGTTTCCATTGGATTAGACCGCACTCTTCAATTCTTTGTCGTGTGGAAGATTCCACCCTTTCTTGCAGTTTTCCTGTCATTGTATAGTCGCTGTGCAGTGAAGAGGACTGTCCAGAGCCCAACAGTCCACAAGTTGAAGGGAGATGGTGAGCAGGACAAGGACCTGGTAAGCCCTAGTGGTAGGTGACTCAGCTTCCAACCAGTCTGCTGTGAGAGTGGCAGCCAGGGATCTAGCAGAGCTGTTTTTCTAGTCTCCCCGTGGAGAAGAGCAGAGGTGGGAGAACAGTTACTCATGCTATCTTCTCCTCTTGGTAGAGGCATCTAGCTGCCACCACACCCTTGTCAGTCCTCCTGCCAGCGTGGCTCACAGGCACAGTCCTCCTCAACTAGCTGTACCATTTGTACTAGTATCCCATGTCTGATCTGGGATAACCTGTTTTCCTTATGACTCAGTAGAGAAAGAATGATTTCTGACAGTGCAGGCTCCTTTTGGAATGTGACCTGACCAGTCACAGATCTTCAGTGTTTAGCCTGCCCACTTGCTGAGTTCTAAAACTTTCCCCTTCCTCCCTTCTATCCTTTTGGATATTGGCCAAAAACTTAAACATGCTGGAACTGCCTCTTCTCTATGCCTCTGAAGAAGCCAGTTCTCAACTTCACACAGAAGCTGGACTCCATTGCTGAACACAGCTTTCATGAACTCTAACCTAACAGGCAACTATTTCTCCTCTTCTCCATCTCCATCCTCTTGGCAATTGATGGTATTTACAGCTCACCTGTCCTATCGTTATTGTTCTAAAATTCTAATACAATGGAAAGTGTTGTTGAGCTTCAAAAACAACAAAACAAACAAAAAAAAAGGGGAGGGGGAGAAAAAGCAATCCACACTGGACCAGGTGGAACACACTTATAATTCCAGCAATCCAGAAGATAAGACAGGAAAATAAAGAATTTGAGGTCAACCGGGGTACAACTAATTATACCAGGCCAGCCTCAGCTGTCTCAAAACAAAGCAAAAACAAACACATAAAAAGCAATTTATAAGTATGTGAAAGAAAACAATTAGATCTTCTCAACTGAGGAGAGTAGGAATGAGGTCTGGTCCCTGATAACACTGGAGGTCTTGGTTGCAAACCCTCTGAAATCTTCTGGGGAAATACTTACAGTCATCACCTACAGGTCCTGCAGAACACTGAGCAGGAGGATCCCTCTGTAAGTCAGTCAGTTCCTAGAATACAAGACAGGAGTTAGGTTGCTATATGCCTAGGGAGCTGCCTTTATATACTGTCATATAGCCATGACTAAGTCTTCTGGCAAAAGACCTTTGGAGATGGTTAGAGAGAAGGCCAGACAGGAAGCTACTTACAGAGGTGAATACAAAATGGTCATGACAACAGACTAGAGAGATAGCTCAGCAGTTAAACGAGCATTTGCTGCTCTTCCAGAGGACCTGAGTTCAGACCCAGCACCCATTTCATAGGGCTTATAACTACCTTAACTCCAGCTCCAGGGGATTCAACACCCTCTTCTGGCCTCCAAGGGCATTTTTACACATGTGACACAGACATACACAAAGACACACAGGAGTATGGACAAAATAAAAATAGAGAGTTCAAGGTGAGCAATAGTTTGTATCTAGGAACCAAAGGAAGTTCAAAATGAGACCCAGATGGCATCTTTCTGGGCTCCTGGTTACAACTTGTAAAGCGTCCTATGACGCTAATCTTGGTTGTCAACTTGACTATATCTGGAATCAATTAAAATGCAAGAAGCTGGGCACACCTGTGAGAGATTATCTTGATTAGATGATGTGAGGTGGGAAGACCCATGCTAACCCTGTGCCACACCATCTGGTGGCAGCCATATAAAAGGACACGGGAAAAGGAGGCTTTTGCTGTTTGCCTGCTTGCCCTCACTCTTACTGGCAAGTTCATCTACCCTGCAATCTTTTGCTGGTGGTAAAACCTACTTCTTTGGGATTCCAAGAGACTGAAGACCAACTGAGACATCCAGCCTGGTGATCAAAACAACCACCAAATTCCGCACTTTTCCACATAGAGACAGTCACTGTTAGACTAGCCAGACTGCCTGTCTACTTTACCAAGTCCAGTATATATTTTCCCATTCTAATTCTATCAGTTCTTTTTCTCTAGAAAACCATTAGGTAACATTTTGCCCTTCTGGGGTCTTTGACAAGAGTTGAAGACTAGATAGTCATAGCTACAGTTTTTCTTAGTTATGATAAAAGATAAATTAGATGTGAAATTTTAGACTCATCAAGATAGGATAGATAACTGAGTATATTCTCTAGTTTGGTCAAATACAAATAGAGTGGATATTGTAACTGTAACTCTTTTTTTTTTTTTTTTTTCCAGACAGAGTTTCTCTGTGTAGCCTGTCTTGGCTCTGTAGACCAGGCTCGCCTCAAACTTAGAGATCCATCTGCTTCGGCCTCATGAGTGCTGGGATTAAAGGTGTGTGCCACCACCACCTGGCATTAACTGTAATTCTTAGTAACTAACTATTTTTGTTGTATATAATCTTACTATGATTATATGGCTATGTTAAAGCCTTTCTTCTTCCTTTTTAATTAGCCAAAAAAGAGGAAAATGTTGTGGAATAATCCTTCAGTACATTGTGAATATGTATTACTCTCATTGGTTAATAAAAAACTGACAAGGCTAGTAGCTGGACAGGAAGTTAGGTGTGACAGCCAAATAGAATGAAGCCAAATAGAATGAAGGACAGAGTCAGGGGAGTTGTCAGCCAGCTGCCACCAAGGAAGTAAGACATGCTAGAGGACAGGTAAAGACAGGAGCCACTTGGCAATACATAGATTAATAGAAATGGGTTTGTTTAAATATAAGAGTTAGCTAGTAATAAGCCTGAGCTATGGGGTAAACATTTGTAATTAATATAATCTTCTGTGTATTTATTTGGGACTGGATGGTCAGGACAAGGAACCATGCATCTATAAAACCCAGGCTATTACACCATCTGAAAGGGACTTTGCACTATGAGCCTAGCCAGTTCAACAGCTATCAAACTGCCTAATAATACATCCTGGTATCATCACTGTAGAGCAAAGCCTTAGAGACCAGAGAGAAAAAAACAAAAACAAACAAACAAACAAACAAACAAAAAAAACAGCCAAGGAGGAGCCTAATGAATACAAGTTCTTGTGAGCCTACCAAGGGATTCTAATAGACTTTGAACATTTTAAAATGATCTGTTTGTCTTCTTGGTTGTCTGTCTAGAGTGTATAATCCTAAGATTTTATTATAGTTCATATGGGGAATGGAATCAACTTTTCAGCTCAAAGGGCTCCTGTTTTACCTCTCCCTGGTGTTTCTTTCCAGGTATCAGTCAAGAACTTCCTTTCCTCACTACATCTGGCTGTTGTACAAATGGGACCATTGACTTTCAGGGTCCCTTAAATAGGGAAGGGTTACTTTCCCAGTGGGTAAGGTAACTGCTATGCCTGATAACCCCAATCAGCTGAAAGCAGCAGATAGACTGTCATCCTAATTCCCTAATGGTAGTTGGGGTTAGTTTTCAGGAGGAGAATGAGAGAACAGGAGGTAAGACTGGCTCGACAGGGGCAGGGATGGCAAAAGCACCAGTTGTAGGAATGGCCTTGGTTCCTTGGCTAAGAATGCCAGTAAGGAGCTGTGGTTTCTTCCTAACTCTTCCTGATTGAGCATCCCCGTTGGACACAGTGAGACTTCAGTCCAGACATTAATCCCTTCTAGTGAACAACTGTGGAACTGTATCTCTGGATGTGCACAATAGTTATAGGTTTTATTTAGTCCTCAATCTTACTTAGCTCATCTCTTAAATGGCTTTAGGATTACCTCTCCAGAGGTATGAGTGCATTGGAGTCCCATTAAGGGAAAGCTATCTCCTGATCAAGACAGTGGAATCAATTTTAGGTTTGGATGGAAACCTGACATTACAAGTTACCCAAAACATAATAGTTAATCCAGCTGGGTGGTCAATCACCTGGCTCAGACCATATTTTAGGAAGAGGATTAACCAAAGGCCATGCTAAAGAGAAGGGGTAATAAGTAGCCCCTATATGGGCCTAAGTCTGGGCATGCTCTCCTAACACTCTGGGTACCCTCACTCTTTCTCTGAAGCTCTATCCCCTACTCCATGAAGCATCTTGTCTGCCACATAGCTGCTTGCTGGCTGAGCTCCAAGCCTAACTCAAAGGTATGATTCTCCATCTCCTTTCTCCTGGCATCAGCCTATGAGACTAACTATGTGTGCTGTGAAAGGCAGAGACCAGCTACCCAAGCCCTTTGGAACCCCATGAGCCCCAGAAGCCACACACTGAGCTACTTACACTTCAGAGAGGATTTGGTTTTCATTTGGATTTGATTGTAACTGTGTCTTGTTTCTTCCCTTTGGAATAGAATCTTTGTAACATTTTGATTTTATAGGAACTTACAGTTAAGAGAATTTAGATAGTTATTTATTTTGTTTTTTTTGGGACAAAGTTTCCCTGTATAGCCCTAGCTGTCCTCAAGCTCCCTCTGTAGATCACACCACCCTTGAACTCAGGGATCCTCCTGTCTTTGCCTCTTGAGAGCTGCCATTAAAGTCATATGCCACCATGTGGCTTTGATTTTGGATATTTTAAAACTTTTTAAAATTAGATTTTTTCATTATATTTTATAAATAAATGTTTTGCCTCCATGTATGTATGTGCATCACATGTGTGCCAGGTGACCATGAAGCTCAGAAGAGAGCATTTGGGAGTTGGAGAGATGGCTCAGAGGTTAAGAGCACAGGCTGTTCAATTCTTAGCAACTACATGGTAGCTCACAATCATCTATAATGAAATCTGGTGCCCTCTTCAGGCATGCAGACATACATGCAGGCAGAATCTTAAAAAAAAAAAAAAAAGGCATCTGATCTCCAGAAGCAATTATGAACCATCAAATGGGTGCTGGGATTCAAACTTGTGTACTCTGTAAGAGTAAAAAGTGTTCTTAATTGCTAAGCCAAATTTTTAGCCTGTGAACTTTTAAAGTGTTTGAATTTTTAATGACTGTGGGACTTTTTTTAAAACTTGGTATAGGAGCTGAAGAGTTGGCTTAGCAATTAAGAGCACTTGCTGCTCTTGCAGAGAACAGGGGTTTGATTCCCAGCACCCACATGATCACTCACAAACATCTGTAACTTCAGTTCCAGGGGATCTGATACTTTCTTCTGGTCTCCACAAGAGTACCACACATGTATGTGATGCACAGACGTACATGCAGACACAACCCATACACACAAAACAAATAAAACATAAAACAAGACAAAACAAACAAACAAACAAACAAAAAACAAGTTGGAGCTGGGCAGTGGTGGTGCACACCTTTAATTCCAGTACTCGGAAAGCAGAGACGAATGGATCCCTGCAAGTTCAAGGCCATCCTGGTCTACAGAGTGAGTGAGCTCTAGGACAGGCTTCAAAGCTACACAGAGAAACCCTGTCTCGAAAAAACAAAACACTAAAACCAAAACAAAAAAAAAAAAAAAACAAAAACAAGTTGGCATGTTGTGATATAGAATATAGAAATATGAGATCTTGGAGATAAAAAAGAAAAGATTATGGTTGAATGGTAATGTATTAGTGTATTAAGCTGACAAGGGATCAACTGTTTTGGTTAGTTTTTTGTCAAGTTGATACAAGATAGGGCCATTTCAGAAGAGGGAACCTCAATAAAGCAAAATTCCTCCATCAGACTGTCCTGTAGACAAACCCGTGGGTCATCTACTTGACTGATGATTGATGTAGGAGAGGCCAGCCCATTGTGAGTGGTGCTGTATCTGGGCACATGGTCCTGGGGTGTGTTATCAAGCAAACTGAGCAAGCCAGAAGGCACACACCAGTAAGCAGCACTGTTCCACCAGCCTCAAAATTCCTGCCCTGGTTTCCTGTGACGATGAACCATGTAACCTGTAAGTCACACAAACCCTGTCCTCCCCAAGTTGCTTTCGGTTACTGTGTTTATCACAGCAACAGAAATCTGACTAAGACACATCCCCTGGATCCACTTGGTGGAAAGAATCCCTGTGTGACAGTAATGTTAAATGCTAGGATTGTAGGGTTGGAGAGATGGCTAAGTGGTTAAAGCATATACTGCTCTTCCAGAGTTCCAGCACCCACAAGTGCCTTACAAACACAAGTAATCTGTCCTGAGAAACAGATGCCCTCTTCTGGCTTTTGAGGGCACTTTCATCTATGCAAGCAAAACACCCATATACTTAAATAAAAATAAATACATATTTTAAAAAAAGATTTATTTATGTATTATAACGTTTAAAAAAAAGATTTACTTATTTACTATGTATACAGTGTTCTGTCTGCATACCAGAAGAGGGCACCAGCTCTCATTAGAAATGGTTGCTGGGAATTGAACTCAGGACCTCTGGAAAAGCAGTCAGTGCTCTTAACCTCCAAGCCATCTCTCCAGCCCCCAGATACAAATACAAACATACATACATACATATATATCTCTTTTTAAAGTTTTGGGGTTTTTTGTTGTTATTGCTGTTTTTCGGGACCGGGTTTCTGTGTAGCCCTGGCTGTTCTGGAACTCCCTCTGTAGACCAGGCTGACCTCGAACTCAGTTTTGCCTCTTGAGTGCTGGGATTAAATACTTGCACCACCACCGCCAGGCAAAGTAAATAAGTATGTTTTAAAAGGTTATAAATATTATTCTTCAGCAGAGAAAATTTGAACTTTTAATGCTATGTGAAAATGTAGATCACAAAGTACAGCATAATTCGGGGCACGCCTTTATTCCCCGTTATTGTGAGTTCAAGGTTGGCCTGATCAATACAGCGAGTTCCAAGTCAGTTAAGCTGCAAAGAGACCCTGACTCATGAAACAAAGAAAAACAAACCAAAATTCTTTACAGCAAGCATTTTTTTCAGGAACAGGAAAAGAACGAAAAGTAGATATGCTAAAATGTTTACAATATGCTAAAATGTTTACAAGATGGTACCGGGTGGGTTTTATTTTGTTTTTCTCCGATGCACTTCCCAAATTCTAGGTTAATGGATCAATACAAGGCTGTTGCCTATAGGAGGAAATACTCGAGCGGCTGGCTCATCCTATCTTGCTAGTTACCCCGTTCGCCATTCCCATTCCCGCAGCTGCGCGTGCACGTGACACGGTCGCGTGACCCCGCCCCCGCGAGCCTCCCGCGGGGCGCGCGCACCCACCTCCTGAATCCGCGCGGGCAGCGGCAACGCCTCGCGCGGGGCAGGTGTCAGCGCGCCCCGCCGCGCCTCAGCTCGGGTTTCTAGTCGCTGGGGCAGCCTGCGGAGGGAGCGGGCGGGAGGACCCCGTTTCCACCACTCTTACCTTCTGGATCCGTTTCAGCGCCATGCTCCAGCTGCTCAGGCCCAGCAGGCCCCGCGGGGCTGCCTGAGGCGGCCGGCTGGGCCGCAGCGCTGCACGCCGAGAGCGGCGGTCTGCGCGTGCGCGTGCGCGCCGCGGGGCACTGTGGGGCGTTTGTCGTACGCGCCGCGGGCCCGCGCCTGCGAACCGGGTCGCGCAAAGTCAGTTAGTTGGCCACTGTCGCCAGGCTGTGTGGCGCTGGTTTCTGCTAGGCGAGGGCCCAGGCACCGGGACGTGTCTGACACACGCGCAATGCTCTCTGCCCCCTCCTGGGCTCCTCCCCAGGCTGTCACATAACTCCTGAGCTTAGTGGTTCTCAGCTCTGTAAGTATTCATTCGCTTTTATATGCTTTCTGGGCAGAAGTGTTAGATATTTCCGAATACGCGTAGGTGCTGAGTACAGAAACATAAACATGTCTGGAGAGCTGCATTTTCCAGTAGTACTCAGGTAGTTTTGATGCACTGCTGAAGTCGAGACTGAAAGCGCACACCCCAAAAACTCTGCTTTCCTTTCCCCAAGACATCTGTAACATTAGTTACGAACTAATCAATTTGTCATAAAATCGGTAGGATACGGATACAATAAAATACACTATCAGTAAAGAGGGCATCTATAAATAACATTTATCTATCCACATATACTTATAGGGTGTGCCAATAGAGTAACTCCAGGATCAAAGGTATTCCAAGGTCAGCCTGGGCAACATAGTGATTTTTAGGCCAGTCTAGGTTGCAGAGTAAGAGTATGTTTTTAAAAAGGGGGGAGGGAAAGCCCATGCCTTAATCCCAGCACTTAATCCCAGTTCGAGGCCAACCTGGTCTACAGAGTGAATCCCAGGACAGCCAAGGCTACACAGAAGAAACCCTGTCTCAAAAACCATAAAGGGGGAAAAATCCCAAAAGGAATGTTTAAAACACATTGGAGGAGTTGAGATGGCTTAGTGAATAAGAGTGCTTGCTGTGCAGTCATGAAGACCTGAGTTCATGAGCACCCACATAAAAAGTGGAGCATGGCTGTTCATGCCTTTGACCCCAGCATTGGAGGTGGTGGTGACAGGCAGTTCCCCAGAACTATCTTAATCTACACAGTGAACTTCCAGTGACATAGAGAATACAGAGACATCCGACATTCCACTCTGGCCTCCTGTCTTGTTCCTGTACCACATACGAACTCTGCCCCCCAAAAAAGCAATTCCTTGGTACATGCTTTCCCAGCCAGTTCTTCTGTATTTCGTTCTTCTATTCCCCTAAGCTGTCCTAAACACACCTGTCATGAACTGTCCTCCAAATGTAAGCCTTACCAAACTTCACCCTCTTCCAAACTTCTGATCTACAGAGGAATTCCAGGACAGCCAGCCAGATGGTGGGTACTTCTTTTGCTTTACTTATTTATTTGGAGACAGGGTCTCTATATATCCCTGGCTATCCTGTAACTTGTTATATAGACCATACTGACCTCACTCACAGACATCCACCCACCTGTGGCTTGAGTTCTGGAATTAAAGGCATGTGCCACCATGTTCTGCATTTTAAATCTTGGCTTAGTTTCTTTTTTTTTTTTTTTAAGATTTATTTTATATATGTGAATGTTTTGCCCGTATGCTTGTATGTATTTGTTCACAGAGGTTCAAAGAGGGCAGAAGAAGGGTTGGATTTCTAGAACTGGAGTTAAAGATGGTTGTGAGCCACCATGTGGTCCTGGGTCCTTTGCAAGAACAAAATACTCTAAACTACCAAACCATCTTCTTAGCACCTTGGCCTGCTTTCATCTGGAAAGCTCCCTTTGATTTTCTTGAATAATCTTCCATAGCCAATTTGAGCATCACTCAAATGGCTTAGGTAAAAGGTCTTCTGTGTGTGTGTGTGTGTGTGTGTGTGTGTGTGTGTGTGTGTGTTTGAGACAGGCTGGCCTAGAACTCACTGAGATCTGCCAGCCTCTGCCTCCCAGGTGCTGGGATTAAAGTGTGTGCCACCACTGCTTGGCTAAAAAGCCTTCCTTTTGGAGATGTATTTTCACAGCACACATTTCCAGCTGGGTGCAGTGGCTCTCACTTGTACTCTAGCATCTTTGGAAGCTGAGACAGGAATATTGTGAGTTGGGGGCCAATGTGGGCGATATGTAAGAGTCTACCATTTAAAAAAATGTAAAGAAATATAACTGTGGCTGGTATCTTGTGACTGTAATCCCAGCACTTGGGAGGCTGAGACAAGAGGGTTGCTCTTAGTTCAAGGTGAGACTAGGCTACAAAGTAAGATCTTGTCTCAAAAAACAAAAAAGAACCAGGCATGGCACACATCTTTCTTTAGTCCTAGCATTTAGGAGGCAGAAGCAAGTCTCTCTGAGTTTGAGGCCAGCCAGGTCTATATAGCATCAACCAGGGCTACATAGTGAGATTTTTGTCTCCCAAAAAAAGCAAGCAAGCAATCAAAAACAATAAAACAACCCTTCCCCCAAGGTAAGTTACCTTGCAGAGAATAAGAGACTTTGGGACACTCAGCCCTAAATAGGACATCAGTGTCATATCCTCAAAGCTCAGAGATCTGTGTGTATAAGGGGGCAGAAAGATGGTCAAAGCCAGAAGTGTTGGATAACATTAAGGAAAGAGCTTTTTCCAGACACATCAGGGCAGGTGCATAAATGAATTCACATATTGGCAGCATGCATAAGACTTGCACAAGGAGTCAGGGGCAGGGAGATTTCTGAGTTCCAGGCTAGCCACAGCTACATAGAAAAATCTTGTCTTGAATAGAGGAGAAGACTTGCCACAAGCTCAAATCAGACAAAATCCCAGCACCTAGAGGGGAAGTGGACACAAATCCCACCCACACCTAGACAAGAAGCTTTTTGCAAGTGTTAGCTGCTGGGAGAGGAAAAATCAATTCCCTTCAATGGAGTGAAATTGGTATATCAGTCACATTCCAGTCAGTCATCACAATTTTGGACTTCATGTATTTGTGAGTTTTTTGTTTGTTTGTTTGTTTTAAGAAAAAAGGCTAAAGAGATGGCTCGGTGGTTCAGAGCATTGGTTGCTCTTCCAGAGGTTCTAAGTTCAATTCCCAGCAACCATGTGGTGGCTCAGAATCATGTATAATGGGATGATGGGGTCTGATGCCTTCTGTCATGCAGAAGTATAGGAAGACAGATCACTCATATACATAAATAAATCTTTAGGAAAAAAGACTGTGAAGTTGGATATGTAGGGAGGTGGGGAGTTAGGGGAGGGGGAAGATATGATCAAAATACAGTGTATGAAATTCTCAAAAAGATAACTAAAAATCATTAAATAAAAGATAAACATATCAGCTCATGTTTTGTAATCTTAAGTACGTGGGAGGCAGAGGCCAAAAACAGCTACATAGTAAGACCCTACCTAATAAAACAAAACCCTGGAATAAAAATAAATAAGGAAATATTAGTTCAGGGGCTGCCTATCCCATATCATTTAAACCCCTGCACACACCTGGGAACAACTGACCCCAAATTTTTGTAACAGTTGATGTATTTGTCTAAGAATAGAAGCCTAGTGAACCCAAATGGTAATGATAGTTATTCCTGGGTAATGGCTTTATTAATTGATTTTCAAAATCTTCTACAGTGAATTTGATTATTTTCATAATCCAAGGAGAAAACCCTAAACCAGACCCCCACAGAATAAAAAAGGAAAACTTAGATTTTTTACTTTCTGTTGGTGACTTAGCCCATAGCATTCTAACCCTTTTATTATTTGATGTTTTGCCCTCTGAAATAATATTAGGTATGGATTGCAGAAATAATGCAAAAGTCTAGGCATGGGCCTAGAGAGATGAATCAGTGGTTAAGAGCACTAGTTGCCCTTGCAGAGGACCTAGGTTCATTCCCAGGACTCTCATGTGGCTCACAACCATATGTAACTCCGGTTCCAGGGGATCCATGCCCTCTTTCTGTCCTCCTGGCACCAGACATACACATAGTGCACATACCTGCATGCAGGCAAAACACATAAAATAATGCAAAAATAAATAAACAGATAAATGAGAAGCCAGGCATGAGGGCTCACACCAGTAGTCCTAGCACTTAGGAGGTAGAGGTAAGCATTGGAAGTTCAAGATCATTCTTGGCTACATAGCAAATTCAAGGCCAGCCTGGGCTATTCAAGATCATTCTTGGCTACATAGCAAATTCAAGGCCAGCCTGGGCTATTCAAGATCATTCTTGGCTACATAGCAAATTCAAGGCCAGCCTGGGCTATATGAGACTCTATTTCAAACAAAATCCAGTAACAACAGCAAAACATCTGTGGGAAGGGGAGAGTTACTACTTTATTAGATTTAATATACCCATATAAAGAAATCAGAACGCATACAAAGAGAAAAATATGGCTGTTCAAAAAGGGGAAAAAAAGTATATTCCTGAAAAAAGCCCCATGGCAGCTCTGCATAACATAACTTGAAGCAAAAACTGGCATTGTGCACAGTTGAAACCTCAGCACTGAGGAGGGAAGTGGAGGCAGGAGAAGCAGAAACCCCAAGGTCACTCTTTGCTGTATGACAAGTTAGTCAAGGCCATATGAGACCACGTCTCAAACAGTAACAAGCTCAAAGATATATAGTTTTGGTGGCTAGAAAGATGGTTTAGTAATTAAGGGCACTTGTTACTCTTGCAGAGGACCCAGGTTTGGTTCTCAGCACCTATACAGAGGCTTACAACCATACTCATCTCCAGTTCCAGGGGATCCCTATGCTTTCTTCTGGCTTCCACGGGCATCAGGCATGCACATACATACATGCAGGCAAACGTGCACCCATTACGTTTTTTTGAAAAATACATGATGTGGTAGTTTGTTTGGGGGTAATTGGCCTCCCACAAACTCATAGGGAGTGGCGCTGCTAGGAGGTGTGGCTTTGTTGGAGGAAGTGAGCCACTGTGAGGGTGGGCTTTGAGGTTTCATATATGCCCAAGTCACACTCAGTATCACAGTCAATTTCCTGTTGCTTTCTGTTCAAGATGTAGCTAGCACCATGTCTGTTTTCACAACACCATGCTTCCTGCCATGATGATAATGGTCTGAACCTTTGAAACTGTAAGTGATCCACTTCAATTAAATA